CTTAGACTAATCTGAGTCTAAGCTGAATCCTAGACATATGCCTGATATTAAGCCTAGGACTTATCCTGACATTGAGACCAAGCCTAAGGTAAGTCTAAGCCTATTCGTATGATTGTGCCAAATCCTAAACGCAAGCCTCAGCTAAGTTTGTCTAAAAAATATGCATAAATTTAAGTTTAAGGCTGTGTCTAGGCCTTAGATTAAGCCTTTGTCTAAGGCAAACCTCAAATTCAAACCTAAACTTATGCCTTAGTCCGAGCAAACTTAAATCTAGGTCTAGGTCTAAGCTTTGAGACAGATCTTAGCCTGAAAATAACCCTGTGTCAAGCATTAAGTCTAAACCTAAGCGCAAGCCTAGAATTAAGTGTAAGGCGAAGGTTACTTTTGAACGAAATCCGAAGGTGAAGGCTAACTCTAAACTTAAGCCTATATCTGATACGAATCCTATGCCTTAGATTAAGCCGGGTTAAGTCTAGTTTAAGCGTTGAACCTAAGTCGGCTTATGTCTAACACCAAGTATGAACGAAGGCCTAAACCTAAGTCTAAGTCTAAGCCGAAACATATGATTAAGTTTAAGTTATACCTTGAACCTAGGCTTAAGGCAAGGTCTAGGCCGATAGTATGAAAGAGTCTTACTAAATACGATACAACATGTCCGACATTAGGTCTGTTGCTGAAATTTCTGATGTCTGCCGATTCATGACTGAGGACACCAAACAACATGAATTTTAACACCTTTTACCGACGTGTTGTATTACACTCGCTGTAGCATCGGCAGGGTATAACTAATTATCAGGCAGGTAGCCGTTTTATATTTACAAATATGTCTATTCAAAGTTAGTGGAAGATTAACATCAGGTTTTAATCATCATATACATAACTTTGAATTTTAGAGTTCAATCTCAACTATTTGGTCTTTCCAAATTTTGTATGTAATTCGTGCTAGCACTTCAGTTTTTCATTATACCATGGAGGAATAGGATTCATTGCACATACGATGTTTCACTTCCAAAATATGTTGGGATTCCGTTATCAAAAGAACTGTTCTACTGATATTTGTTGACTACAGACACGTTCATCTGTTTGAAGGAGTGTCCCTCAGACAGGGCGTGTTGCGTAAAACCAAAGGAACCAGTCTGTCCGAAGCGAACTGTACAGAAATGTTATTTAATCCGGATATTAAATTTATGGTTGGTCTTTCCAACATATATCCTATCGCAGTCTTCACCCCTGAAGCTGATCTTTGTAGAAATTTTCTGGAGATAATGGCTTCTAAGGAATGCGCAACAGGATTGCGACCAACATTCTGCACCAGATATGTGGATGGTGCCTTCTTGTTATTCAAAAGAAAGATTTAAGTACAGCTGAACAGCTAAAATATTTCGCAAATTATTTGAATGGACAAGACGTTTATGGTTGAATACATTTTCCTACCAAAACTAAGGTGAACAAGAATATGCCATTCCTTGGTGTGATTGTGAATAGAATGCTATTGCTAATATTTGCAATTTCTGTTTGTCGAAAACCGACTCATTCGAATGGATAATTACACCCGTTGTGGTTTTGTGGCCCTCTCGTTCTCTTCAGAAGCATTCGTTTACGAGCGCAGGAAACATGCGACACTCCTTCTATTATAGGCGCTGAGATTCGATATCTTTACCATGTATTCTTAAAGAAAGCTTATTCAAGGAAGACACTGAGCAGCGAACTGTTGCAACCCAGCAAAAACTTAATGAAATTGTGTGGTAATATAGTAATGCGGCATACGCGTTCGATGCATTGCCGGTGCTTAAGTTTCATGGAGCCATTACCTGCTTAAGTGTTCCCTCCTACGGGATTAGATTCATTGGGGTGGTGCAGTATTGTGGTGTCATCCTGTGTAAGGACTACCATCTCTCTTGCACTACCGCAATATTGCTGTAAAGCAGATGACTTAGCATTAAATTTTTTGCCATGTAGATCCGGTATCAGTAGTTGAAAGGTAATTAATATGCCAGTTGTGATCCGTTTAATCTTTTTGAGATTCGAACTGTGATCCAAATGTCATAAGTAGAACCTTCACCTGAAACGATTTTATCGAACTGGGTTCGTGAGTTGTTTTTCTCTCTGGAGGTGACAGTACGACAAACTTTTCATGCGCAAAAAAACTGCGTAATGCATAACTGATTCTAAAAATTCGTAATTGACAAACTATTACAAGTAGTAGGCGCCAACGTGCTTTCTAAAAGCTGTCTTACAT